TTTTTTTTTTTTTTTTTTTTGGTTCTTAGATAAAGTCCAGTCTGCTGGAGAAACAAGGTTCCTGCAGGGTAGCATGTAACATGAAACCTTCTCAGGTTATTTCAGACCTGGCATGTTGGCACCCTGGGAACGGTGGCTAAGAGCACAGTTTGTGGGTTCACTGGTGAAAGTTACTGGGGAATCCTAAGGAAATAGGCAAGAAAACAAAAAGAAAGGAGCAGAGCAGAGCAGTTTTACCTCTCTCTTAAAGCCATCCCAAAGCTTTTGCTCTGCTTCTTCATTGTCAGAGAACGATGCAGGGAATATGCCCTCTGTACTGAGGATCCAATGCATTTGTGGCACATTCCTCCTGGCCCCCCTCCCCCAGCTCATTAGCCTGTGAGTATTGGATATTGAGAGCACGTTTCTGGGGCCGTGGGCGCACTTCCATGGCATCGCAGATTTTTTCTGACTTAGGAGTTAACTTCACATAATTGAACTATTCTGTACAGGAGTAATACGGGGTGGGGAGAGGGAGGGGGAGGGCAGAGAGGGAGAGAAGGGGCGGTTGTATTGGGGTGACATTTATTTTTAATAATCCCAAATTAAGACATTTACTTCCAGTGTTTGCTAATGACTCCCTTTCTCTCCCTCCTGAGTTTATGTTTGCTGGAGGGTAGATCTTACTTATTTTTTTGAAATTTAAACTTTTAGCAAGACCATTCTGATGCTGCTTTGCATTCGACAGCAATAAATTCCGGAGCAAATGACAAAATGCTCTTCTATGATCTTTAGCTGATGTCTCTAATTATGCTTAAATTAGAAACCTTCTGTAGTCACAGCCGTACCAATGGCTGTGTGTTTGTGTCAACACACCCGCATGTGCACACACACACGCATAGACACATGCGTGAGGCTTCCTGGATAGCACACGTGTGCCTGTGTCTGTGTGCGCGCACAGGCTCCCAGCGCGCAGAGGGTAGACACTGCTTAGCAATTCACACGGGTGCTACCTACTGACTGCACTTTCTCTAGGTCCACCTTAAAGTCTCTTTGTATCCTTGTTACCCTCCACCGTAAGCACGCTGCACATCCGCACTTACAGCTGGTCAGGCAGGAGAAAAGGAAAAGAGAGACAAAAAAAAAAAAAAGCCTCCAGGAAACCAGAGCAGCTTCCCCCCCTCCCCATGATTGTGCCTGCAAAAGAGGCAGAATATACTAATCGCTCTTTCTGGTCTGAAATCACTGGGCCCTGTCCAATGCGATCGTTTTGTCTTTACTTCTACAGGTACAGTATATGGAACACATGGGAGACGAGGGAGGCAAACTTACACCAGATACCAAACGCTAGAGTTAGAGAAGGAATTTCATTTTAACAGATACTTAACCCGAAGACGACGTATTGAGATTGCAAACGCTCTCTGCCTTACTGAACGCCAGATTAAAATATGGTTTCAAAACAGGCGGATGAAATGGAAAAAGGAAAACAAATTCATAAATTCCACACAGCCCAGCAGCGAAGAAACAGAGGAAAAGTCAGGGGAGTAGAACCACGTTTAATAAACGCTACCAGGCATTTCCTTAGCGCTTACTACTACTATTATTATTTACCTTGTGTTCCTTCTGCTACTGAAATCCTATAGGTTTGTCACAGTCTATTAATCCCCAAAAGGCTTGGTTAAAAGATGTACATTTGCAATCATCTGTGACTTACTTCAATATATGTGGAAGTCCTAGCTTTCGAGCTACAGGCATGTATGTATATAACCACCTTTCCAAAGCGTATATGGCGTTGCTTAAAGTGTTAGAGAATTGGCCCAGAATTTTAGATGTTTGAGGTGAGCGTCTGTGTGTGGGTGAGTGTCCCTGTAGTGATTGTGTGAGAAAAGATAAGGGAATGAATTTTTTTTAAATTATAAATGTTCATATTGTAGAAAGACAAGAGATTTTAGAAAATATCGGGTTTATGTTTTTGCTGGCTCCCGCTACATCGGGCTGTCTTGTTATGCTGTGTTTGGGAGTTTGTTATCTGCAGGGTAAAAAAAAGTTTTACTTATGTATAAGATATTTAAATAGCAAAAGGAAGACAAAACCTTTTTAAAAATCGTTGTATAGGTCTCTGAGTATAAATGTGCAGTAAAAGTGAAGATGATTTGCAGGGAGATTTAAAAAAAATGTCGTTAAACTGCTTAATCCGCACTGTTAGTATTAAAGTTAAAAACTCGGCTTTAAACTTCAGGGGGAGCGAGGGAAGAGGTTTCTAAGAGGGCGAATTTGTGTGGTTCCCGTTGAGCATACACTGAGGTTTCGATGAGCTCAGCTCTACACTGAAGGGGTTTTGAATTATGGACTACATTTCTTGGGGCTTCGTGGGCTTCGATCGATCTTTTTTCTTTTCTTTCTTTCTTCCTTTCTTTCTTTCTCTAAGAAAAAGTCTTATTAACTCGGGGATCTTCTTCCCCACTTCCGTGGTATCTTAATTCACATTCTCATTTCTTAGCACTGGAAAAAAAGTAAATAGATACACTAAAGAAAAACAGCTGTCATAAAATGCTTACACTTCGAGTTCTGTGTAAGTAAAATAAGCGCAGGAAAAGTATTGATTAATAGATGTTATATCTCTAAATATTATATTGCGTGTGTGTGAATGTGCGTGTGAAGCTGTGTACAAATGTACTTGTATACGCTTCAAGGCTCTTTTGTTTGGAAGGCAGCACAATTTGGGCTACCGCTCTAAATATTTAAAAAGCCAAATCTGGAGAATGCTAATGCAAAATGGCTACCGCCGCATTTAGAGTTTTTTTCCTTCCGAGAGGTGATAAAATAAAGGCGGCCATAAAGTCGCCTGGAATTTGACCCCCTAGTTGGAAAAACGCTGCACGATATTTATCGTTCCTAGGTACCTGCCATTTCACATCGGCAGGACCCGGCTGCCTCTCGAAATCTCCTGCACCATAGTGAGGGGGTGGGGGTGGAATTATATATACACATATATATGTAGAAAAGACATGAGCGTTGCCAGCATCCGAGGACGGCTCGTATAGGGTTTGTGAACTCGCGTAAATAAGCCTGGCACGGAGAAGGCAGGCACAAAGCGGAGCGCTGTCTGCGCGCCAA